CCTTGGTAGAAGCTAATTAGAGTGTGTGAATTACAGAAGAATTGATGTTTTTGGAGCGCAATCACTCCAAAAGCATTTAGAGCCATCTGAAAAAAGTAAAGATCCTCTTTTTGAACTGCACTGGGTTCAGTGTGTAGCGGATGTTTGAGACTTTGTTAATGTAACTCTACAAAAAATTTGGACTCGAAAGATTGCACTCGCGAATGAAAAATGGACCTTTGTTTGAGGTGTTCGTATAATTATGAACCGCTCAAAATTCGCATTAGGCGCAAAAACACTCCTAAGATTGACATCGATTTCCATTCTTATGGATCATATACCGTTTTCAGCTGTGCTCTATCGCATGGTACAAACGGCTTTCTGAGTTTCCTCCAAAAAGTTCAAAAACTTTCAAAATATAAGGTGTTCGTATAATTATGAACCGCACTTTACTATCTACTGCCTGCCTGTTTACGGTAAGTTTATGGTAGCCAGTCGTACTTCATGATTTCGCTTACGGAAGGAAGCAACTTGCAACTAAAATCTTCACATTGAATAACCTACCCTAAATATAAATCCGCGATGCGTCAAGTGAATCTGAATGTTATGTTCCGATTCAAAATTCGTGTACTTCGAAATGAGATGTGGTGACGCGACGCTGGTGTCACCAGTTCACGTACTATGGTGTCTTTTTTGCACAAACTGTGAGCGGTATTGCAGAGCATTCGTATGAAACAGGACGTTTTTTTGTATAAAGATATGCAATTTTTGAAAAAGGACATAACAAATTGACCAGAGTAATTTTTCGCTGGGGATACATCACTGCCTATTTTGATTCCGTTCATTGCCACCACAGCGAAAGTGAAAGGGAATCCCGAAGAAGAAAGCAAAGTTTCTCCCCACATCTTTTCGATTCCAAATGCGTTATTTGATTTATCACTAAGTTAAACTCTTTGTATCTACGACAGGAAATATGTTCATGTATGTGAATACATGTTTACGTTCTCAAATGCAAACCTTTGGCAAAGGAAGCAAAATATTTACCATTAGTAGCAAAAAGATATATAAACACATTCCAGCAATTGTGGGAGTTTCGAAAACTTCCTTATGAGAAAGTCATAAGAACTTCATCTATGCAAGCACTGTTTTTGTTTTACCGCATGACAGCACTGTCAAGTGATACATACGAATAGCGCGGGTAAACGCAAAAAATCATACTGCCAATGAGAGGTTTTTTCTGTGAAACTCTTAGATAGTGACCAGCGATTTCAGGGCGTCATTTCTACATCCGCACAAGTACAAACCTTCTACAGACTATTTCCTACTTATTACAGTATAACGTGCTAAATCTAGACCGCGAAGAAACGTCTCAAACTAAGCTTTGTTATTCAATAGTAGGCATTACTCGCCTTGAATTCACGTTGCAGTATTACGCTAAGGCTTTTTGGCAGCACACTAAGGAAACGAAAGTGGATATTGGTCGCGAAGTAATTTTCGCAAATTTGCATGTTCCTGCTTAGAATCCCGAAGATATCTTTTAGCATCTAAGCAATTATAAATACTCGTACTGCGTAAGGAGCAATGTTTGTTTAGTTCATTCTTGAAGCAAAGTTATGTAGTGCCGGCAAATGCTGTTTCGACATCAACTTTGCGAGTAGGTATGAAAAGAGGGGATTTTAGGGATGAAACGGAATAACTGCATATTTTCGTCCCACCTCACTATGCCCAAGACTGAGCATACTGTCGAAGTTTTAACCAGGATCCAGCAAGAAGTGTGGCTAACAACCGAGGGATACGACCCTCCCGTGGCTCTGCTCTCAATGACTATTTGTTGAATGAAAGAAGAAGAATTCAGCTTTGATCGCTTAACAAAAAGTGCAATATTTTGCCTATCAAACTGTCTAAATTTTGTTTGCTAAAATTCTCTTTGGAGGTAAGATAATGGGGTGTGGCACAACCCCAGAAAAGCTGTGGCTGCCACAACTTCTTGGGGATTGTGCCACACTCCGTTAACTTACCTCCACAGCAAATATCAAATATCTTTGCTTATTACACAGCATTCAAATATCTTTGTTTATTATATGGTTGCCACTGCTGAACCTTCTTCCACACACGGTGGATTTCTACTCAAGATCGTTCCTCCTATGGAAAGATTTAGCCGTTTTTCCATACCTATGGAAGTGCAAAAAACTGCGATAATTTTGGTTAGGGTAACAGCTAAGTTTGCGCTACCACTTTAATCGCAAGGAAAGACCGCAAGAATAAATTTATTCGTTAGCCTAAACCTCATAATTTCATAAAAGTGATTTGAGCTTGATTGGTCTTCTCTAGTCTGAGATCAAAGCGAAAAATGGGGGAAACGAGGTTTTGGCTTGCCCTTAATTTAAAGTTCGGAGCTTATCTAAATTGGGATCCCTGATGTTAGCAAAGAAGTAGTAGTTCTATTAAGCGCCAAAAAAGCTACGACTCAAGTTTGCAATGTCAACAGTTCGAAGATGACCGACTCACTTGGGTGGCCCACTTGACTTTGAAATTCGCTGAAACCTGACCCACAGGAATTATTTGACATGCTAATTACCAAAATGATGCTCGCTATTAGGGCTCTTTTGTTATACTTACTATGTATACGACGGTAGGCCAAAACATCGGCTGGGCTAGTATTCTGTACAGTCGTTTTGGTACGTATTGGTTTTTTCTACCGCATGCCTTCCAGCCTCAACATTACGTGGATTGGTGTGGATTGGTGTGGATTGGTGCGGCGCCGCCGAGAAAAGCAACGCGGCGCAAACCCGAAGCGATGCGGCGCCTCACCAATCCATGCCAATCCATGCCAATCCACACCAATCCACACTAATCCACGTCATGTTGAGGCTGGAAGACATACGGTAAAAAAACCAATACGTATTGAAAACAACTGTATAATGGGCTTATGTGACATTGTTCATGAATAACATGTATCGCTAACATCAGCGTCACCTCGATAGTCCCCTTTCCCTGACCTCTCAGTACGACCTCTCAGGTGTTTCACGCCACACCCCGCTTTTGGTCCTGATTTGAACTCTTGGGCCTAAGGCATACCTCGCGCGATTTTTTCAAATCGCTACATCCACGCGACTTGGCGGGTTGCCAGATTTCTACAATCCAAACGTGCGCGGATTTCGAGTGCATAGGCGCGTAGCTTCCGTAAGTTGTAGCAAAACATCAAGTCTGACCCATGCAAAGCGCGCTTACGGCCAGATATGAAGAGTCGCTGCAGTGCCAGACCGCGCAGCGACTGAAATCACCTGAGGTATGCCTTAGGCCTTAGACATAAGCCTTTTTGCGCGGCACAGTTGACAGAGAATTACACGCTGATTGAAAATATCACTCTAGTTTCGTCCAAAACTTCTCTCTGCAAGGTTGCGATAGTGTACTGTACTGGATTAAAAACAAAATGTGCTTCATTCGCATGGGGAGACGGTCAAGAGGCGCGATTTCTCTAATTGTCACCAACTTAAAACTCCAGTTTAGTGCTATGCGAGTCTTCAAAAATTACGCGGTAAAGTGCATTCGCTTAATAACTGTCTGAGGTCACCACTTGCTGAGTTTCATGGTTTTTGCTATAAATCGGCTGAAATAATTACGAATTTGTTTTGAAATGCATCTTCATGAAATTTTGACCTTCACATTTGCTCTTTTGTATTTTTTCTGGGGTATCAAGATTGAACAACTCATGCAACTATCTAATATATCTTCTTCTAAATTTCATATACTTTTAGAAAGTTGCAGAACACTTATTATGTGCTATTGGTGTTCAAAGTTTCTGCAGAGTTACAGAATGATCTGAAAAGCGCATGAAGATATATTGGATGTTATGTGCACGCTCTAAAAAAGCTTGCTTATTTATTCGTTTCTTAACCACTTAAAGGCAGCGTCCAGGCAAATCTGGACACACGGGGATCTCACGTGGATAGTAGTTTTGGGGTCCTAACTAAGCCACTGCCCAATTGGCAGCTCAGGTAGTGATGGCTGAGATATTCCTCTCAAAGCTGGACCCCGCGATCGTATTTCGCATGGATTCATGGCGCAAAGCGTGGATTCTGGCGCGAAACTGCTATGAATCAATGCGAATACGATCGCGGGGTCCAGTTTTGAGGGGAATATCTCAGCCAGTTAGAGTACTACTTGAGCTTCCGCTTGAGCAGTGCCTTACTTAGGGCCCCAAAAGTTTTCCACGTAAAATCCCCATAGGTCCAGATCTGCCTGGACTCTGCCTTTAAGCACGCATAGTGCTTGTCTCTTCTCCAGAAGCTGAGGTTTTGGGCGCCATATCGTATAGCTACCGTAATCGCGCTGTGCCAGTTGTAGGAAGATTCCCATTTCATCGGCATGTCAGCTTCTTACGAAATTTTCAGAGAAATCTGGGATTTTGGTCTCTATGCCGTGTAAATCGTGACCCAAAAGCACTTATAGCTCAGAGTATGTATGTGTTATAATTTGTTAGGCCTGACAAAATATCCCGATTATAAGATGTTCGAGAGATCTGTAATATTTACTAAAGTTATTCTACCGTAACCCCAGGGGTTACTTGTTAACTTTACCTTGCCACATGAGCGATGGGTCAGCATGGCAAAAACGCAGTGGATCAAGTTTGGATGTAAGTGATGTTGAAGTCTTGGTAAGCAAAAGTCAGCATATCAAATGATTCCAGTTCGCTGATCGTGAGATTGGCAGAACCTGTGGATTCATTTCACTTCAGCTTCAAGAAAACTACTCAAAACAGTAAAATTCTATTGTCTAGATGTTATCTAGATATACAGCCTAAGTCATGTCTCCAAATAGCGCTACATGCGCAGAAACCTGCATCGGTGTTAGTGAATCCTCCTTTTTTTAAATAATATTTTTGGTAGTAACGGAAGCATTGCTAAGGCTATATTCTATTAATTTCATCTGCGGGTTTCTCGTCTTGCAACTACTAAGTGATTCGAAATCATTCCGTATTGACTAGATACCTGAAAATGTGGAATAACCGAAAAACTTACCGTATCTTCCCAGTGCACATAAAGCTGGCTTCAATAACTTCCGGATTGGGTTCCTCCACAGTTTTTTCCGCATTCAAAGTATACCAGCCTACGAATGATCAAAGTAAGGGAACAGTTTCGAGACGAATTAGCCATAGATCATCGACTTTACTAACATAAGTAAATTATCACCGCATATGCAGATATTAAACGCGCGACAAGAGGCCTCGCTGGACATGGCGAAAATGAACTTTTTCTCATTGGCGCTGACAAAAAGCCTCGTTGAGACACGTAGCAACGCGCGACAACATGATAACAGTACACGTCAAGGCTCAAATCTCATCAAAACGTGAGAAAACTTGTTTTGACAAAACAATGCGAGGTGTTTCTCTATCGTGAACCGCTTGCAGGAAAATTTGCAGTCGTGGAAAAACACCCGAATAAAGCGAGCAAATTGACTCTTGCGCGATGCCATGCTCAAAAAACTCAACCCTCGCCAAAGAAAAACTTCTTTGAAGTTGTGAGTTGGAAAAATATTTTGCGTTTTATCGCTGACTGGGCTTGGACAATGATATTGTATTCCTAGTTGCTATCTGAATCCTTCACGTTTCTTACTGTACTACAAACCTATTGCTAAACTGTTCTCTGACTGCGCAAATTTATGACAAGACCAATGAAAGATCAGTTTAACAATAAGCCCAACTTCCACCCTTATGCCTGTCCATCTGCACAAAAAATTACAATGGAGGTCCGATTAGTCGAAGTGGCCTTTCCAAATGAATTTTTTAACACTTTGAAGAGCATCAAACGATGATTCCAAATCTGATTTCATTATCTGCCGAGCGCCTCTGCATGCCGAGTTATAAATATTTTCTTGGTGCGAAAAATGAACGCATAATCTAGGTAGAATCAAATTTACTGTTTTTCAGCGCTTAAATAGAGCAGTGTTAAGTGTGAGTGTTTAAAACAGAAGGTATTGTTCAAATAGAGTACTCTGGTAATCAACAAAGGACAATTTCAGCAATTGTAACGAATTTTGTGCTAATCATGCATTCAATTTTTCAACTCAAAAAACGCTCATAACTCGACCTCCGGAAGCGCTCGGCAGATAACAAAGATAGATCCGTAACCAGCGTTTGATGCCCTTTATAGTCGTATCAATTTCATGTAAAAAGGCTACTTCGACCAAACGGACCTCCCTTGTTGGGGCATCTTTGCTTTTTAGACTGGAAAGCTGATTTTGTTTGCTTAAAGTAAGGAGAAAGAGGTGAAAATACAATAAGATATCGAAAAAGGGCTCCAAAAGTGAAACCTTGAATATCTCACTGTTTTTCTTGCAGTTGCATAAGCAAATTACCTTCATCATTGAACTCCGAGAACTTTTTGAGTAAAGTATCACTTTAACTTTAACTTTAGTCTTCCCACTAACAAAGAAGGGAAGGTCGGTCGAAGTGGCCTTTTGAAATGAGGTGTACATTGCCTTGTACAGCTTAGAACGCTGATTACAAATCTACCTTTGCTATCTGCTGAGGGCTTCTGTGCGAGGAGTTATGGAGGTTTTTATGAGTAAAAATCTGACAAGAGTAGGCTAAAATCAGTCGTAACATTTTTTATAGAGCTAAATTGGTAGTCGGGTCACTCGGTGCAACAAATATTCTTGATTTAAATATGCCAATTCGCTGCTGCCTCATTCAAACATTGGGAAAACATTACCATTGATTTTACCCTAATTTTGCATCCAGATTTTCACTCACAAAAATCTTCATAACTTCTCGCCCAGAAGTCAGCAATTGCCAAATACGAAAAAGCCCAGTAAGAATCCGCGTTTATCAGAAGCGCTTGCTAAGGCATTTGGGCACCATCATCGCTCACAGCATCGGCTGGCAATATCTGACATCCCTCTTGACCCACACCCTCAGCCAGGCACGCCTGGCATGAAATTACGGTGGCCTTTCTAATTTTGTAAATGTGACGTTAAACATCAGAAGTACAAACTAAAATTCATAAACGACTGAACAGTAAGAGAAAGCACAATCGATTGGAGGAGTTGTCGCTCACGACAGTCGCTTCTTATTGATAATCGATTCTTGACGGAGATCAAAATAGCAACGTGAATGTTCAACTTCAAGCTGTCCGCGTGAAAATAATCATCATCGCCGTCCGCGGCTATACAGACAAGATGTTTTACGTTGAAAAGAAATAGACTCACACTTTGAATCTTATTGTTAACTTGTGAAAGAGAACTTTTTACAACGTTGTATTGTTTTCTAACTTGGAGATCAAACTTTTCCTCGGTGACCGTCAATAGTTTTGTAGCTACGCCTCTGCAGTCTCCTATCGACAAATTCCATGCACAAAAATTGTACTTGATACACTGGTAAGTTTTCTGTAAAAGCGAAATCAGAGGATCGCATCGGCTGCGCTGGAGACTGGACCATACTATGTAACCTAATCCTCAAACTAATTTACGAGTTAGTGTTGTTGTGCGATGTTCGGTGTCGTTTTACATCCTTGTGTTGTAGTAAAGTCTTTTTGAGAGATAAGCGGATGGCTACCGAGTACGTCCGATTTTTTTTTTGCCACCTTGCGAGTGTATCAGCCATATCAACTAATCATCAATCAGTTTGTAACGCGCAAACGTGTGCGCATATCCAAATAGCAAGTTAAAAATATTTATTCTGTCAAAAAGAGCATTACCTGAGGTGAGTTGTGTTACCGACGGAAAACAGTTAAAAAGAATAACAAAAACGAACATCGTGGACCACTTGATTGAGGCTTGATTTCAAATTATATATGATTAAATAGAAACTTCTTTGTACGAACTTGCTTAAAGTTCGATTCTGCGATACTGTGCTGTGATGGCTGCAGTTGGCCGACGCTATCACCACAGTTCGGCCGAACCACTCGTAGAACACATGAAATGTTCGTTGATAGCGAATTCGCAGAATGCGAAATTGACACTTGCACACCAAATGCGTCACGGTGTTCATTTCTACTGGTCCTGTATTCCTGAAACAGAGTAGCTACGCATTGATGCCACAGACATAGAACTGCTTATAGTGGCGGACCAACATAACCAGCTGCTTATAGTGGCGGACCAACATGGCGTCAAGATGTATGGAACACACCAAAATTTGACACTTTATGATGCTGAGGTATATACCCTAAAATCCGTACATTAAGTCCGCTCTATCAGATAAGTCCGCCCTATTAGATAAGTCCGCAAAGGAACTAACAATTAAGTCCGCTTTCTTGACAACGAAAGTCGCCCTCGCGTCGCCAAGAGTCCTGCAGATAAGTCCGCTTTCTCATGCACAGGATAGGCGAACTTATCTGCTGCGGACTTATCTGATAGTGGATTTAGGAGGACTTATCTGGTAGACTTTTGGCGGCGCAGAGGGCGTTTTTTCATCGATTTTTCGCTAAACTGCAGATAAGTCCGGACTTATTGTACGGATTTCAGGGTAGAATTGTTACGCAATACATGTAGGAAGAGCAGAACATTTGCACAATTTGACAATGAGTTCTTAGTTGTTATGCTACGTGAAACCAAGATTGGTGCAAGACTTTGTAATCGACCCGTGAAAGTTCTAGAGAAGAATGCAGCATCTTGAGTGATGCGAAGATAGAAAGGGACCTGAGAGTGCTAAAACTTCAAAACGCGATGGATTTGCTGCATCATTCGTAACTTATCACAAAAGCATAACAATGATCCAACAAAGGCAAAGCAACTTTATCAAATTGCCTGGCTAATGTTGTAAGATAAGGAAGATCACGAAGATTAGGGATTTACGACTCTCTTGCGCTGATGTCCTTTGCAAATCTTCAAATGCCATTCTGCAAGTTGGCTTCAACACAGTTCTGCGGTATAGGACGATCACTTCGCTCTTCTGTAGGATTATGGTAAGAACGGCAAAGTTTTCGTACCATCGAGAATGAATCTTGCCTCAAAAAAAAACATTGCAAAAAAGCTGAAATATTGTTAGTAAGTAGATCAATGACACTGAACCAAAAACATTTTACCAACAACAGTCAAAAACCTGAAAACATCACTGCTTCAAGAATCTGCACAGAGTTATTTGCTGAAATCAGTGCTCTAAAAACTCAACCAAAAAAGTTGCAGATGCGTTGCAAGTTTTACGAAACTGCATTATTTGCAAGCACGTCATGACGCTGTGAATTCTTAATGTAATACTAAAAAAGAGATTGTAAATGAAGTCAGCTCTACAGAATCATACCCAAAGATGGCGAATAACATCACGCCAAAAAGATATTGTGAATCGAATAGTAGGGACATATTTTTTGGCGCTATTCCACATAAGTTGACCCAAAAAATGAAGATCGTGAATTTCGCTAAAACTTCGTCTAGAAAGGTTATTTGGTACGCTGAACACGAATATGATGTTTATTTCGTGCGACAGCGTCATCCGGTGGAGTTACGGTAGGATTACGGTAGGGGGTCAAAATCACGGATTTGCCCGAAACTTGGCCTAGAGGGTTTCGGTCCGCTAACGCCGAATATCACATTGGTTTCGTGCTGTAGTGTCATTTTCTCGAGTTAGGGTGGGTATACGGTAGGGGATCAAAATCTCGAAATTCGCTGTGACTTTGCACAGAGGGGTTATTCGACATGCTGATTAGAAATGACGCACTTTTTCCGCACGAAAATGTCTCCCTGCATGGTTACAGCAGTTTACGGTAAAGGTCAAGATCACAAATCGGCAAACGTATCTTTCCCTTATGCTTTGCTTAGGCAAAAGCCGCAGCAGAGTGTGTAGCGCGCGGCGGTGGTCGTGTGTGCAAAGCTTCACGATTGTCCGAATCGCCGTACACGCGTTTCGAATTGAACTATGTTTTACACCCGTTACCGTGTATCTACCGTAGCCCGAGAAAATGACCACTGTTCAAAGCCAATGTGATATTTGGCATCAGCGGGCCGAATAACCCTTCTGGGTCAAGTTTCGGGCAAATCCGTATTTTGACCCCCTACCGTAATCCTACCGTAACTCCACCGGATGGCGTTGTCGCACGAAATAAACATCATATTCGTGTTCAGCGTACCAAATAACCCCCCTAGACGAAGTTTTAGCGAGATTCGCGGTTTTCATTT